CGTCGGCCTACAACTTGTGGAGATCAGCACTTTCCAAACGTGCACGCAATCACGGATTTAAATTTACTAACTTATCCAAATCAACCGATATCTTCCATTATTGTAAATTTCTTTAGGAAACAAATAATATATTTTAAGGAAACAAATAAAAGATTTTAAAGACGCATTGTACTTTACTAACAATCACTAAAAATCAAATCTAAATTAATTAACCTTACCTTAAATCACTCAATCACTTTAATTAGAGAACATTTTCTTTTCTAACTGCACCCCGCTTAGTGTGCACATAACAATCCGGAGTAATTAGAGTCACATGATTGAATGTCTACTCCTAATGGAGCAGTTGGTAGTCTCGCTTCCAGGTTTTTTTTCGTCCCACCACTTTCGTCCGGTTTTTTTCCGTAGGTTAACCGTCGTAGATTTTTTTCGATGGTGGTTTCTTATTCACCGGTTTATTTACCCCTCAGATCTTTCCTTGCAAATCAGGACTTTCCAAACGTGCACGCAATCACGGATCTAAATTTACTAACTTATCCAAATCAACCGATACCTTCCATTATTGCAAATTTCTTTAGGAAACAAATAATAGATTTTAAGGAAACAAATAAAAGATTTTAAAGACACATCATACTTTACTAATAATCACTAAAAATCAAATCTAAATTAATTAACCTTACCTTAAATCACTCAATCACTTTAATTAGAAAACATTTTCTTTTCTAACTGCACCTCGCTTAGTGTGCACATAACAATCCGAAGTAATTAGAGTCACATGATTGAATCCATTTATTTAGAGCGACATGATTGCGTTCCGGGATGGAGGCCATGATTTCGTCGAGGTCGTTGCTGCCTCCTACACTCAGGGTGTGTCGCCGAGATCGAGGCGAGCATGAGGAGCTGTGGCCACCGCCATGGTCACCTCATCGCAGGGGATGGAGCACGTCGTCGGCCTACAGCTTGTGGAGATCAGCACTTTCCAAACGTGCACGCAATCACGGATTTAAATTTACTAACTTATCCAAATCAACCGATATCTTCCATTATTGCAAATTTCTTTAGGAAACAAATAATATATTTTAAGGAAACAAATAAAAGATTTTAAAGACGCATTGTACTTTACTAACAATCACTAAAAATCAAATCTGAATTAATTAACCTTACCTTAAATCACTCAATCACTTTAATTAGAGAATATTTTCTTTCCTAACTGCACCCCGCTTAGTGTGCACATAACAATCCGAAGTAATTAGAGTCACATGATTGAATCCATTTATTTACCGGTTTATCTCTACTCCTAATGGAGCAGTTGGTAGTCTCGCTTCCAGGTTTTTTTTCGTCCCACCACTTTCGTCCGGTTTTTTTCCGTAGGTTAACCGTCGTAGATTTTTTTCGATGATGGTTTCTTATTCACCGGTTTATTTACCCCTCAGCTCTTTCCTTGAAAATCAGAACTTTCCAAACGTGCACGCAATCACGGATCTAAATTTACTAACTTATCCAAATCAACCGATACCTTCCATTATTGCAAATTTCTTTAGGAAACAAATAATAGATTTTAAGGAAACAAATAAAAGATTTTAAAGACACATCATACTTTACTAATAATTACTAAAAATCAAATCTAAATTAATTAACCTTACCTTAAATCACTCAATCACTTTAATTAGAAAACATTTTGTTTCGTAACTGCACCTCGCTTAGTATGCACATAACAATCCGAAGTAATTAGAGTCACATGATTGAATCCATTTATTTAGAGCGACATGATTGCGTTCCGGGATGGAGGCCATGATTTCGTCGAGGTCGTTGCTGCCTCCTACACTCAGGGTGTGTCGCCGAGATCGAGGCGAGCATGAGGAGCTGTGGCCACCGCCATGGTCACCTCATCGCAGGGGATGGAGCACGTCTTCGGCCTACAGCTTGTGGAGATCAGCACTTTCCAAACGTACACGCAATCACGGATTTAAATTTACTAACTTATCCAAATCAACCGATATCTTCCATTATTGCAAATTTCTTTAGGAAACAAATAATATATTTTAAGGAAACAAATAAAAGATTTTAAAGACGCATTGTACTTTACTAACAATCACTAAAAATCAAATCTAAATTAATTAACCTTACCTTAAATCACTCAATCACTTTAATTAGAGAACATTTTCTTTCCTAACTGCACCCCGCTTAGTGTGCACATAACAATCCGAAGTAATTAGAGTCACATGATTGAATCTCTACTCCTAATGGAGCAGTTAGTAGTCTCGCTTCCAGGTTTTTTTTCGTCCCACCCCTTTCGTCCGGTTTTTTTCCGTAGGTTAACCGTCGTAGATTTTTTCGATGATGGTTTCTTATTCACCGGTTTATTTACCCCTCAGCTCTTTCCTTGCAAATCAGGACTTTCCAAACGTGCACGCAATCACGGATCTAAATTTACTAACTTATCCAAATCAACCGATACCTTCCATTATTGCAAATTTCTTTAGGAAACAAATAATAGATTTTAAGGAAACAAATAAAGATTTTAAAGACACATCATACTTTACTAATAATCACTAAAAATCAAATCTAAATTAATTAACCTTACCTTAAATCACTCAATCACTTTAATTAGAAAACATTTTCTTTCCTAACTGCACCTCGCTTAGTGTGCACATAACAATCCGAAGTAATTAGAGTCACATAATTGAATCCATTTATTTAGAGCGACATGATTGCGTTCCGGGATGGAGGCCATGATTTCGTCGAGGTCGTTGCTGCCTCCTACACTCAGGGTGTGTCACCGAGATCGAGGCGAGCATGAGGAGCTGTGGCCACCGCCATGGTCACCTCATCGCAGGGGATGGAGCACGTCGTCGGCCTACAGCTTGTGGAGATCAGCACTTTTCAAGCGTGCACGCAATCACGGATTTAAATTTACTAACTTATCCAAATCAACCGATATCTTCCATTATTGCAAATTTCTTTAGGAAACAAATAATATATTTTAAGGAAACAAATAAAAGATTTTAAAGACGCATTGTACTTTACTAACAATCACTAAAAATCAAATCTGAATTAATTAACCTTACCTTAAATCACTCAATCACTTTAATTAGAGAATATTTTCTTTCCTAACTGCACCCCGCTTAGTGTGCACATAACAATCCGAAGTAATTAGAGTCACATGATTGAATCCATTTATTTACCGGTTTATTTACCTCTCAGCTCTTTCCTTGCAAATCAGGACTTTCCAAACGTGCACGCAATCACGGATCTAAATTTATTAACTTATCCAAATCAACCGATACCTTCCATTATTGCAAATTTCTTTAGGAAACAAATAATAGATTTTAAGGAAACAAATAAAAGATTTTAAAGACACATCATACTTTACTAATAATCACTAAAAATCAAATCTAAATTAATTAACCTTACCTTAAATCACTCAATCACTTTAATTAGAAAACATTTTCTTTTCTAACTGCACCTCGCTTAGTGTGCACATAACAATCCGAAGTAATTAGAGTCACATGATTGAATCCATTTATTTAGAGCGACATGATTGCGTTCCGGGATGGAGGCCATGATTTCGTCGAGGTCGTTGCTGCCTCCTACACTCAGGGTGTGTCGCCGAGATCGAGGCGAGCATGAGGAGCTGTGGCCACCGCCATGGTCACCCCATCGCAGGGGATTGAGCACGCCGTCGGCCTACAGCTTGTGGAGATCACTGTTGCTCTTCAGGTCGCGTGGTGACCGGATCTTGCCGATGTGTCCCTCCCCGACGACCTCCTCTTCGCCCGGTTGGCCGGCATGGATCTCGCCACTACTGCCCTCAACTTCTCTGCCTCGAGCTCGACGGTCAGCCACCATGGATCCCCCAGCTGGAGGGTCACGTGAACCAGCCGTCCTCCCATGCTGCAGCGGCGAGAAGGTGACATGGCTCTCCGTACATGAAGAGTCGAGTGTGGAGTTCGGTCAAGTACTTATATACTTGGCCTCTACTGCTGATCCATGTACATGGAGAAGAACAGACAACCGCTCATTCATGCTTCGTTCCACTCCTTTGCGCTACATTACTGGAGGTGACATTTTCCTATCTCTCTATGTTGTAACAAGCCTGTTGCCTGCATAGTTAATGGATTTTTTATTTAAATTTATCGCTGCTTAGTGCTTTGTTGCAATTGTTCACGCAAGATTCTTATATATAATCGGAGCGTATGTAGGCATACTTAGCTTTGCTATTCCATTTTTTTTGGCGCATAAAAATAAGAGTATTGTCCAGGTTAGGTATTCAATTGAGTATGGTATTTGGATTGCTATCAGAATGTCTTTTCTATGCATGTGATTTCTCACATCTGGTTATAATATTTGTGAAGACATGCATTGCACGTGCACTTGGAAGTGGGCCCATGGCCCACGCTGGACGGCGCTGACGCCGACCCGAGCCACCTCGTCCGCGTATTCTTGGAGCTGTGGCTGGTCGATTTACATGAAATTAATTCCCTCAGTTCTGGTGGCAAATATAATACACATAATCCATATTGTTATGCACTAGCGTGTATGTGTGAAATAGATGGATTATGGTCCCGTACCCAATAAGATGGACATGTGTGTGTGTTAGAGAGAGAGGGAGAGGAGGATAGAGAGTGAGGAAGACGGAGGGAGAGTGTGTGTCTGTGTGTGTGTGAGGATTTGATGGTAAAAAAGGTCGCCAATGTCGTAATATTGAACTCTTAAATTTAATGTGGTCTCGTTGCAACGCACGGGCGTTCTTCTAGTTACGGATAATTTTTCTGAGAAGCACATCATTGGTCGTGGTGGCTATGGAGAAGTTTACAAGGTAGGCCAATACGATTATTACCTACGTCGATCTTGTTATAACTTCAAACTGATACTACTGTATGCACCTCCATTAACCAATGTACCAGGGAGTGCTGGCTGATGGGGAAGAGATTGCTCTCAAAAGGCTTTATCCCGTGCCGGGACTTGATGACACGCAATTTACGAACGAGTTTAATAATCTTATGAAGGCCCAACATCCAAATGTTACCCGGCTGATTGGCTACTGTTATAATGTAAAAAATGAACGCGTTAAGCTCAATGATAAGTATGTTTTTGCCCATTCGGATGAAAAAGTTCTGTGCTTCGAATACTTGAAGGGTGGAAGCCTTGACAAGCACATTTCAGGTATGATGGTGCTCTACTTAAACCTTATTATTATTTTGCATGTAAATCAAAATTAGCCTTATTATTATTATTTTTAGCGTCTTGGTAATATGATGTATGTTTACTTCCACAGATGAATCGTGCGGACTCAATTGGCACACCCGCTTCAAAATTATTAAGGGCATTTGTGAGGGCTTAAATTATCTTCACAATGGATCCAAATATCCTATTTACCATCTTGACTTGAAACCCGAGAATATAATGTTGGACGAGAATATGGTCCCCAAAATTGGAGATTTCGGTTTGTCGAGACTCTTCCCTTCAGCACGAACCTATGTCACAATCAAAGTCATAGGAACAATGTAAGTTGATATACCTCATGATATATAATCAGCTTATCTGGAAAAATATTGAAATAAAGTGCATTGGATACTTACAATGCAGTGGATACATGCCACCAGAATTCATCGAGAGACGCGAAATCACATCAAAGTTTGATATATTCAGTTTGGGTGTTACAATCACGAGGATAGTGGCTGGATATGACGGCTACTCCAAATATGCATGCATGTCTCTAGAAGAATTTATTAAGCATGTATGGAAGATATCTTGTATTATGAAAACCAATTTTTTTTCCACATATATTACAATTCATATTGTGATGCATTAATTTTCTTGCCACCTTTCGCATTGTGTTCCAACTTTGTAGGTACATGAAAACTGGGAAAAACGGTTACAAGACACAATGTCGTCGTACACACCAGAGCAAGTTACAACATGCATCAAAATAGCATTAAGCTGCATGGAAAACAAGCGTGAGAAAAGGCCTAATATTGCCGAAATTGTTGATAAACTGAACATGGTTGATACAACAGAAAGTTTATCTAGAAGCCAGGTATATACGTTGGGCAGACACATATTACACCCCTTTCCATATTGATCATGTGTGTGGCCACTAGTGCCACAATTGTCATTTCTGAAAAGGAGGTACACCTGATTGACCGCATCACATATCCTCTATAATTACCCACTAACTTCCCACTTATGATGAATGCTTACTTTATACTTTCATTTTGTTCTTTACCACTATAACTAGGCTTTTTGTACATTTATTATGGGAGTGATAAGTACGCAAAGTATGATAATTAATCCGCCCACTTGGAAATAGCTTATTAGTTAGTATTATATTAAGTAAGTATTATATTAAGAAAATATTTTCCATAGAAATCTGAAATCAAATGATGGTGTACTCCTACTAACTAATATAGAACTCACTGAAAATTGTGTTTTAGATAATTTTGACACGGTACTCCTACTAACTAATAAGCTACTGTAGTGATTAGGAAAATATATATCTTTCACCAAAATTTTCTTAATAAACACAATTTTCAGTGAGTTCTAGATTAAACTACCGAATCAAACTGATGTACTCCTACTAACTAATAAGCTACTATAGTGATTAGGAAAATATATATCTTTCACCAAATTGTTTTTGGAAAAACAACAGAGCCCCGCGCCCACCCACTAAATGACATCAATTTTGAACTACATATAGTGCAATGTGCATGTTGGGTTTGATATATATTAAGTCACAACAACTTTATTTTCTAAGATGAAAAAAATCATTTGATGCTACTATATAGTATTATTGATGGATTAATATATAAACCTAAAAATATATACTATGACAAGCTCTGTCTTCGTAGTATGGTAGAGAAATGTTAAAACTACTAGCTAGCGGTAAGAGAGTCTCCAGCCTCACCCCCAACAGGCCCCCAAGGCCCGTACTGAAAAAATGGCCCAGTCGCGCCTCCAGAAGCCCAAATTTCGCTGGTTAGGCCCGAAACTGGCGCCGGCGGATCCAGACCGAGCCCGGCGCACTGGGGGCCGCTCGGGGGCGCCGGGGGAAGAGTTTTTGGCGCGAAAGTCTGGTAGGCCCGCCGAGTCAGTGACCAGCCATGTCTCGTCTTCCTCATCGCCTCGTTTTCCCACAGGGAATCAATGCCAAGGCTGCCGGCCGTCAGCATCGCCTCCTAATGTTCCATTGACGAGGTCCGCGGCCGCCCGGAGTACGCCAGCTGGGCGGCGTACTTCCAACACCGCCACGACGAGCAGATCGCCTCCACCAACAACGTGTTGGTGAGGGGGCGCCACAATGCTGACGGCCGCCGCCTGTGGTGGGGCATCCCTGGGCGGACGCTGCACTACGTCCTCGAGCACCCCGAGGGCGGCAACCAGTCGCCGCTCTAGTACCCGGCGGCCCCGGCGCCGGTCCCCCGCCGTAGCGGCGGCCTGTGGATGCCGAGGCGCATGGCGTCCGGGTCCTCTTCCTCCTCCTCCCACTCCTCCCACTCCCCCGGGTCGCCGGCGCTCTTCAGTGTCAAGGCCGAGCCTGTGGAGACGCCGCTCGGGCGGCGCCCTCGCCGGCGCCCGTGGCTCCTCCTCCTCCCACCTCGTGAAGCCGAAGACGAAGCCGGGGCTCGTCGCCGTGAAGAGCGAGTACGACGACATGGTCGTTGCCAACGAGGCCGTCATGAAGTGGGCGCGTGAGGACTACGTCTGGCTGGAGGCGGAGCGCCAGCGCCACGCCCTCGAGGAGTTCGCCGCTTGGCGCCGCGGTCGAGACGAGGGCAGCGTCATTGTCCTCGAGGACAGTGACGATGACGCACCACCACCGCCCACCAAACCCGTCCACCGCCAAGGCGACCCAGGGCAGGGGTGCAGCAAGGACGGCGGCGGCGTGAAGAAGAACGAGGACGACGGCGGCGACTACAGCGCCTTCGACCTGTAGGAGTAGTTCTAGTTTATGTTTTTTCAGTTTTGATTATGTTTTTAAGTTTTTATGTACAAATATGAGTGAAATCGTCTAGTTTGGATGAATTGTGCCGTGTTTGGC